AGCGTCGACCATTTCTGGCTGGCAACTTTCAGCGTCATTAAGCCGCTGCGCCACCGCGTCCTACGTCTGCCTTTAACTTGAATTTGTATGTAAGTTGGAACTCGTACTTACAAACGGGCTACCTATTACTAAAAATGGCGGATGGTGTTCTCCTTCCTCGAGCCAAAGAATTGCTGAAGCTGCACAATGTTTTCATGAACTGCTGAAACTGTATGTTTTTAACATATAGCCTGTTTTCAATGGTTTTCAGTGGTTCATGAAAACATTGCATGACTTCAGAGGTTTGTCGGCTCGAGGAAGAGGAATGCTGTCCTGTTAGTACTGTAACAGGAAATGCCAGGACTGTAGGCTAGACTGGGATGTTGAAAGACTTCTTGGGAGAAGTGGTGGCAAACCTCTTCCGTGCAGTTGTCAGCAAAACTGCATGGATGTGTCCATGAAGTCATCAGAAGCCCAGCTTGATTGGAATAACAAGGAAAACTCAAAGATTTAGCAATTATGAGCAACCACAATAATTTATTTCTTTTCAATGACTTATTCAATATATACCTTATGTATCAGTTCACGCTTAAGGTAGCTAGTGGCATTTGAAAAGACACACACACATAAGATAAAGCAAAAGATTGAAAAAAGATTAATGCTAAAATAATTTAACAACTAAAATCCTAGCTGAAGAGATATGTCTTATCTGCTCTTCTAAAAGTGGAAAGAGTGGGGGTTAGGTGCAAATCTGAAAAGAAAGCACTGTACCATTATCATGGAGTGACACATGAAACTGATAGGCACATGGCTTCTCTAGCTTCTGTTGCACAAATATCTAAACAGTGACTATTTGTATCCAAGTATGACTGTGTGCATATTGACCAGAGAAGCATAAGCCTAGAACAGGTGAGTTTTTGGTTCTATCTGTGCCCTGCCACACCAACTCTCCAATCAACTGGCTCAAATTGATGAGAATTTTCTTCTTTCAACCTGAAGCCACTGACACCTCCTTCTGAGACTACCAATCAGAGAGAAGAGGCCAATTCAGGGGACTTGATGGACCATACTTATTTCCCCAAGATTTCTCCAAAATCGTCTCTATGAGCAGGGATGGTGAGGATAAGCTAACAACGTTTCCTCAATATTGCTTGGGTGAAGAAAGCCATGTTCTTGTATCCTCAATCTAAACTAAGACTGTAGTAAGGAATGAGGAATGCAGCAGCAAGATCATCTATAAAATTGCTCTGTTGGTTCCCAACCACTGCTGATGCAAAGTGTCATAAAGGTAACATCTGAGTCAAGCTTGACTCTTGGTGACTTCATGAACATGTCTTTGTCATTTTCTTGTCAACATGGTATGGAAGTGGTTTGCTACTTCCTCCTTCCAGGATGTTGTTTTTTGTTTTATTTACTTCCCAGCTCTGGTATTTCTTTGCAGTTCCGCCATTCAATTACTAATGAGGTCTGACCCATTAGAATCAGCCATTAGAATCAGCTCACATTGATCAGCAATTATTTTGCTGGACCGCTCCACTGCTTATTTGAAGCTACTGGTTTAAGACCTTGTTGGACTCATTGGTGAGATGGAATCAGAGCAATGCAGCCAGGAGATGAGAATGTAACACTGTCTGCATCAGGAATGATTAATGACCAAAAACACCAAAGGCAGTCTGGGCTGATTGGAATTCAGCAAGGTCAGACCAATGAAAAGATGCAACAAATAGACTACTATAGCATAGCCACAGCTACTGTATATCTAAAGGAATTTATTCTCCCAAATGTACTTGCTGGATTCTTTGGTAATTTTAGGGGCTGCTTTCAGGATGCCCTTGCCAAATAAAATTAGGCCTTCTCAACTTGAGGGCGTCCGTATACAGCAATGTCCTCAGCAAGACTGCTTGCCTGGTTTGTACATCATTAATCTATCAGCTCAAACTGCAGACTTTCTTATTATGCCAGGATTTTAGATCCTAGATTTTATAATTTAGATTTATGGACTCTTAATGTGCATTACATTCTGGATATTTCAGAGAACTTCTGATATGGTATGGGTTATAATTCTAAAAAACAGGTAATTGGGCCACAAATGTGTCTATAATGACTTAATGAATTCATTTCTTACTGCATACTAAGATTTATTTCATGGTATTTACTGCAACTATGCTGTTTTGAACATTATCATTTTATTTTAGATTACTAAAATTAAACTTGGGGAAATGGCCACTAATGCCTAATCATCATTAGCTTTTTTATTATCCCATACCCAGCAATTTCTGTTTTCAGGATAACATAACAAAATAAATTACATCAACAAACCAGAATGTTTTGTTTCTTTGCTTTTGTTTGTAACTGTTTCTTGCTGCTTACAGAAACCTTTTCCTATAAATACTTATTAGAGAGACTGAAAGCACTGCAAACATACATTCTCACTTCACAGAAATTAATGGCAAACTTGGTGCATAATCATTTTTTGACTTATTATCTTATATATGCTAGAAAGTGTTTATTGTAGTGCAGTTTATTATTACATGGAGAAAGTGGTTAAGGGAAACTTTTTAAAATTGGAAACACGTTATTTATGTAATGGAGAGACAGCGTTAGCGAGGGAAACAAATCTCCATAAATACCTTAATTTGGGAATGTACAAACTGCAAGTTCAGGACTGCCTATGAGCCCTGAGTGATTTTTTAAGCATTCCCCCCGGCTGATTGTTCCAATTTCCCAATATTTTGAGATGGGAAATACACTGAAACTGCAATGTATGCCATTAAAATAGTGTTGCAGTAATTTAGGAAGCAAAGGAAAGCCCATTCCTCAAAAAGAGGAGGAAAATATTCTGCCCATTTTGCACCAAAGCCTCTTGCACCATGGTCCGTGTTCCTTTTAAATGCTGTGCTTCCTCTGCCTCTCTGAATGGATAAATCAAAGGAATGCATTGTGCGTGCTCACCTTTTCAAGGAGTTGCCTCAGCTGCCTGCTCTTGGCATCCCTGGAGCATAGGTTTTGTTCCGGTGCAACCACAGTACAAATACATCGCCCATCTGGGTCTTGGGCCGAACTATAGACCTGCCACCCTTCTTTGGGGCTAATTTGAGTCTGAAAAGAAAACAGCAGGGCACAGTAAGTGGAATGCTGGCACTGACAGAAATTGAACACTGGAGTAGTCTTTCGAATGATTTTTTTCCCCAAAAAATCAATGTCTTAGAAAAGTAAAGACGCTTATGAATGGGAAGCATAACTGCTTTAGAAAAGAAGCTTATCAGTAACATCTTGCATATTCAGTTGATGATGTATCTCTCCTCCTTTACATTAAACTTCTCTATGGGTTTAGTGATCATACAGAAACCATTTTAGCTGTGTTCATACTGCTGGCCTGCTCCTGCAAACACACTTAGTGATTTTTTTGATGTCATGTGTAGATGCCAGAAGGCATGGTCAGAGGTGGCACCAATGATAATGGAACATCTGGCAGGCACAGAGCCCTGCTATCCCTCCTTCATTTTACTGCTATTTTGGCCTTAGGGATGACCAGTTCTTCTGTCCTCACCTGCACAGAAAATATGGATGGATTTGCCAAAAATCTTTCCTCCTTCCTCCAATGTCTTTTTCAAATTAAAGAACAACTGGGTGAAGTGGTTATGTTGTTGGATCTGGGTGGGATGATTGCTGTTTACATGATGTCCCTGCTCAAAACATCGAAGCTGCTTGGTGTACTCACTGTTTAGCTCATCCCACCATACAAAGTAATTGGGCAGGAAAAAAGGAGAAAACCAGTGTACATTGCTTTGTGTGGAGGATACAACCTAATATCTGGTCCACCTAACATCAGCGGGACAAAAACCTGCAAAATTCTTACCACTGGCTAGCCTGTATTGGATTTGTGGGAAAAACATCTGGAACACTTGGATAACAGTACCAAAGAATGCCCTATTTCTAATTAAACTAGAGATGGGCAATGGGGGCGGGATGTACTTAACTGTTTTAAAATGACTACTGCAGGCTACTGGCTGTGACAGTGATGCTACTAGAGGAAATGGGGCAGAATTTCTGACCCCTGCCCAAATTTTATTTTATTTTAATGAAAGAGATGTTTTAACTCTGCTGGAGGATTAATACTGCTATTTCGTTAATTACTACAGCAGTAATAGAAGTAGCAGCTGCAGTAGTGGTGGTAGTAGTACTAATAACAACAGCAACAACAACAGCAATAATAAAAATGTTATTTTGCTGCCAAATCTTGACAATGGGATTGTAGGGGATTCCACAGGCCACAAAATAATAGTTAGGGGACTGAGTGGACACAGTTCATTGTCACCCTGGCTTGACTCTTCATCTTTATTCTCAACTACATAACCACATAATCCTTTGCTCATACCTGTCCCTTATCTTCCTTGTGTCTCCCTTCCTTTTCTGGTTTCAAATATTATATTCACTAAACTCTTTGCATCTGTTCTGTCTTCCTTTTGCCAAATTAATGGGCAACCGTTGCCCTTTTATCTTGTAACTGTGCTGTTTTTTCCTCGTTGTTTGTATTTATTGCTGTTTTACCTGTTTTGACTTTTGTAAACCACTTGAAATCACTGATAAATTGCAGCCCATTAAACAACATGTCTGTTTTAATTGGAAGCCTCCTCCCCATGGACCAAGTGGGGGGCAGGGGTTGTCGCAATGAATCCAACATGTGATTCAGAGCAGTGAATCAATTTGATTTTCCCCTGCACAGATGCATGTTTTGGTTTCTTGCTAGCAAAGAATCTATGCAGCCCCCTCCATCTAGCTGAAATTTACTTAAACAGGAAAGGAGGGGCAAGAATGTGTGCAGTTTCTTTGAGAACACAGTCCAGCTGGCTCCAAGAGACCTAGAAATGACTCACTGATCTGTGAAAGAGGACTGAGGCTTCCCTAAAATTTTATGGAAAGTACACTAAATAAATTACTCCTAACAAATTACATAAAATCCTGGATGCTAATTTATATTTGCCATATTCTTTCATCAGGTCTAGATTTGCCTAATCCATTTGTGGTGGTTCTTCACAATGTTGGTCATGAACCCTTCCTATTACCTGATACTCAGCCCTTCTAGAAATGCCAGTTTTTCTCCCAAACTGTAATAAGGATCAGATTCATAGTGATGCACATTAAGAATAGAGACATAACACCTCCTGCTGTTCCCCCCCCCCCGCCCCTGCAACTGGCATTTGGAAGCACCCTTGACCAACTCAGACGTAACACTGAATTTCACATCTAATCACTCTCAATAGATGTATTATCCATGATTTTATTCAACTGCCTTTTAAAGCCATACATATTGATGACTATCATCACATCTTGTGGTACTGCAATCCACACAATAATTATGTGCTGTATGACAAAGAACTTTCTTTTGTGTACAGTATTGTGAATTTCTTGATCGGTTTCACTGAATGACCCTTGGTCTTAACGTTTGGAGAGAAGGAGAACTTCTATCTCCCTGCTATGCATGGATTTTAAATACACTGATAGTCTCTTCAGTTGCCTTTTTAAAAGTTAAAGAGTCCCCAAAGTTCTTTCTTTTTAAATAAGGAAAGGTGTTTGAGGTCCTTGATCATTTGGTCACCCTCTTCTGCACTTTTTCCAGCTTTATCCCTTTTCAAATGAGGCAACCAGAACTCTACAAAATTTTCCAGAGGTGGTCATACAAATCTAAATAAAAAATTATAATGTTGTTAGTTTTATTTTCAATTCCTTTCCTAATGAATTCTAGCATGGACTTTATCTTATTCACAGCTGCTGCACACTGAGTTGAAATCTTCCTGGAACTACTAACTATGAATCCAAGGTCTTTTTCCTGGTGAGTTTCAGACGGCTCAGACCCCATCAGCACAATGTGAAATTAGTGCTTTTTTGCATCATTGTGCACAAACACCTAACTTAACTTGAACTGCATTTGCCATTTGGTTAACCATTCACCAGTTTACAGTGATTCTTCTGGAGTTCTTCATAATCACATTTGGCTTTCACCACCCTGAATATTTTGGCATATGCAAACTTGTCCAGCTCAATGCTTACTCTAAGTCAACATAATTTATGAACACATTAAAAGCACTGTTCCTAACATGGATTCTTGAGTGACTCCACTTCTTACCTTTCTCCATTGGGAACTACTCATTTATTCCTGCTCCTTACTCTCTGTTTTTAAATAGTTAATAATCCATAAAAAGAGAGAACTTCCTATGCAATCAGAAAGAAGTTTACACAAGATACTGTCATCAGGAACCTAGGGAAAGAATTGTGAAAATTTCTAGGATATAACATTGGCAGGGTCAGCTGCATTCATGTTCCTGTTGATACTCTAAAAAAAAAAAAATCTAGAAGGTTGGTGAAGAAGGCCTTCATGGAATCCACCCAGATTTTCTTTCACCATGGCTTACTTCTCTGTGTGCTTAGTTATTTGTTCTTTAATTGTTTTCTATAAATTTGTCTGGATGTTAAGCTGACTAGCCTATAATTTCCTGGTTCTCTCCTATCTTTTTCTAAAAACTTAGCTTCATTAGCTACTTTCCATTCCTCTGGCAGTAAGCCTGATTTGAGGGACAAGTTACATATTTTTGTTAATTCTGCAATTTCTCATCTGCGTTCTTTGCAGAGCGCTTGGGTGGAGGACATTAGAACTCAACTGGAAATCAGCAAAGTGTCCCATAGGAAAAAATATTTTAAACCTACGTGGGCTACCTGTTAACTGCTTATCACTCCTCCTTGGTGGGTGGTATAGTAATTGTAGGACATGAATCTCATACCATACTTCTATGGAGCTTTTGACTGAAGCTCTTGAAAATCTTACAGGCAAATATATTCCAGAAAACTCCTGCCCTGGCTCCCAGACATAAAATTCAGAAGAAAATACAGCAGAAGTTTTCAATGGATTTTCCAATGTTCCATTCAAAAACACTGCAGCACAACAATGAACTTTCCAAATCAAACATCCTATTGTATCAAAATTCAACCCACAATGGTTCCATAATGTATTTCATCCAATCTTCAAATATTATCAGGCAGACTTGAATAGATGTGACCTTTTAAGTTATGTTGAAGTTCTTTTTCAAACATGAATGCTTGATCCCAGGTTGATTTATTTAATATAACACAGAACTGACATTTGTGGCTGACCAAGGCACAATCTATGGTAGAGCCCTTTTTATTTTTAAGGTACCACAGCACCAGCAGTTTTTTCACATGCAACCATTCTGAAAACACGTACTAATGAACACAGTGCAGCATCCTGCGCATTGAGAACGCGAGCATCACATTTCAATGCAGTGTTGAAACTGAAGAGGAAGTAAACATTTGAAAGTTCACATACCATATGCCACAACTGTAGCAGGGACAACAATATATAATTGGGAAAAAGTGGAATATTATATATAAAATATATAATTTTATATTCTTCTTTTAAACAAGGTAGGGAAAGCACACACAGCATGGCCTCTGGAATTTGTTCTAACTCCTTTATCAGCAAAGGCCGTAGGAGGTGTGTGTATTTTCTTCTGGGCAACAAAGTAGTGTGTGTGTGCATGTGTGTGTGTGTGCACATGTTTCTGCTCTCCCCTCATTTATTGTTGGGACTCAGGTGGTATACAAATTTTAATAACAACAACTTGCTTCTGTGTGTGTGTGTCCTGGGAAGCATAAGGCAGGTTAAGTACATTCCACTCTATGGGAGGAGGCTTAGAATGGAAAAGTTCACAACATTCCAAGCTACTGCCCAATTAGCTCTCCCACTGGGGATGCAATAGAAGAATCTTTTTCTGGAATATTTCTCCTGGCTAAATCTGACCTATTGGCACAGCTTGGCTTCTACAATTCCTTCCAACCCCTGAACCAATGATGGCCATAATAGGCATTTGTACTTTCTTCTGTGTAATGAAGTAATGGGTCGTTGTAATAAGGAAAGGTGCCCTCAGGGTCAAACCAGCCTCTCCTCTGAGGTCCTTTGGTTCTGAGGCAACAGCACTAAGGGGTGAGCAGCGACTGGAGAAATAAGTCCCCTTGATGTCACCACCCCTTTGTTATAAACTGGTTTCTCCTTCCACCCCAGCCCTCTGGGGGAACCAGCG